TAGCTGATTTACTTCGATCCTTTCGGAGTCCATTTTGGCTTGAAGAACATCAATGGTTCGTTCGATGCCACTGGAATGGAGAAGGTGAAGCTAGTCTCTATACATTACCCTACAGATATAAAGATGTCCGGCTTGATTCTTCAACGACATTTCAGTCGACATGTCCAAACGACGATCATCATTGGTTCTATGATCATGTAAATCATCTTGAATATAAATCTTTCCTTACTCGATCAGAAATTCCATCACTGATTCGTTTCAGGAATGTTCGCGATTTGTGGATTGATTATTCTATTTCAGAACGATGTCTGAGTGATATTTGTCAGCTGAATCAAGTTACTTCACTATTTCTTTTCACCACTAGTGGTATTCATGCTGACATCGAACTCCAAGATCTGATCAATCGAATGCCTAACCTTGTTTCACTCGGTTTTCATCGATTTTCAATCGCTGATACGCAACAACCGATTTTTCGATTGGCGCACGCGAAAGTTCGCGAACTAGATCTACGATTTATTTCGAATTTCTTAATTGCTGACCAATGTGCAGCTCTATACCGTTCACCCCTAGGTCAACAGTGTGAAGTTCTATACGTACGAATAGAGAAGAAATCTGTCGTACCTGAATTAATTCATAATATGGCCAATCTTCGCGTTTTGACTATTCTACTCGAAGTTAATATCTCTACGGGAACATATGGTGATGTGATTATTCAATGGCTAAGAGAACATCTACCACCAACATGTTTAATCAACAGAGATCCCCAGTTCACAGCGGAAATCCATATTTGGATTTAATAAACGCACTTGCATCGTCAACGTTTATGGAAATTCGAACAAATTTTTATTTTCTCACAAAAAAAAGTTTGGTTATAAGCGTTAAAAGCATTAATTTACTCAAAAGCATAAAACTAATCAAATCAAACTACAAAAAAAAAACATTCGAAAATGAACTTCTACTAACTCCTTCACATATTGTACGTCAGACAAGAAAGAAAGGATGATATTGTTTGAGGAGTTCCATTTCGCATCGTCACCAATATTAATTTTGTTAATTGTGATATCCAGCACAGTTCTTTGGCAATTAAATGTTCGTGAACGGTGTAAACTCATCGAATTCATGAAGAGTGTTACATTCAAGTTTCTTTTTTTCATTGTACCAAAGTTGTGCGATGTAAACAGTGAGATGTTGGTATATATATTAGGACGTCAACTGTGAGTATAGTACAAGTTTGATAGAAAGATAAAAAAGAAAACTAACGGGTATGAAATACTAAACAGAAAATCAAAAATTTTGTTTTAGGATACAAAAGTAAAATTAAAAAGGGGAGGGAGATGTGTTCATTGTTAAAAAAATATTAGTCTTGTTGATAATTTCCATTTTGAACGGTTCCATATAATGAAAATACAAGAGAATTATCTGAGTTGATTATACTCTTCGTTAAACAAACAAATGGCAAATATATATTCATATAATTACTTCTCAGTACCACAGGATTTATTCTTGTCTGTTTGCGGAGGAGTAGAGTTCCAAGAAATGTTCGGAGAGAAAGTACGGGCTCTGTCTGGGGATCTCAGCTTGTATGCTTCGTAAAATTTCCATATGATCCCTTGCGCCTCGCTGCTTGATGGGTATCTCGCTTGCCTTGCTGTCTGTCGTGCTAAAAGACATTCTTTGATATCTGCATCGGTCAGTTGTATTATTGCAGGAGATGGATTATTATTGTCACGATAAGGTATAGATCGATTTTTGATACTCATCAGCATAGAAGAAAAGGAGTCATCGCTTATTTCAAGACTTTTATCGTTTCTTTTCTCAACAAAGGCTGATGTATGAGCATATTCTAACTGATTCAACTGAATTGCATTACCAGCACTTCTCTCTTCCACTACGGTTGTTCTTATCGCTTGTCGATAAGCAACACTGGCTGGGCTAGAACCTGTGCCTACATGTTGCCGATGTGCGTCTTTATCTTCACAATAAGCAAGTGACTCATTTGCTAGTTGTCTGCCGGCTGGCGATTCTCTTGATAATCCATCAGCCACTGAAGCGTAAGGAATAACATGCTCAGCCTCGTGAGTTTCTCCTGTAACAGGTGTACCGTGCTCAGCTGCTAGACGATCTCGTTCTTTACGTCTATCTCCATAAGTTCCTCTGCGTTCAGAAGAACTTCGTCGCTTTTTTACTTGAGGTGTTTCTTCTTTTTTCTCTCGCTCTTGCGACCTGCTTGTGCGTGGTGTTTGATCTCTCTTCTCTTCTCCTTCATTTGAATTAAGTTTTGGTCGTTTGCTCGTGTCAGTGTCATCCGAAGCGACTGTTTTATTCGGAGTAACTACCTCATCACTTCTGAGCGGTACTCTCCCACCGATCATTAATTTCTGACCAGTTGCATCTAAATGTGTTCGATATTTCACATACAAATCCAAATGTTGCATAGTATATTGATTAAAAGCTATGCACTCCTTGTCTATAAAAGTTTCATCTACTTTACTTCCCAATAATTCATGATAGGCGATTAATAAACAATCATTACGTCCATTTTTTTCGACGAAATTTTCTTTACCCCGTGCAGTTGTGTAATGTCCCATTTGTCCATATTCAGTACCTGGTATATATTTAATTTTAGCATCGGTTTTAAAAAACGCAATGACTTTTCTCAATCCATCGGGTCTAATGATTTTCTCTTCATTTGTTTCAGTATCAATAACGATAATGTTTCGACATTTTGCATTAGATAATAAATGAATATCAGCAAGATTTTTGCCTCTTGTTGCATCTTTTGCTTCATCTTCATACATTTCTTGTTGATTCTTACAGGTTTTCACATTATTTTGTAAATCTTCTCGTTTCTTTTCAGCGTCTTCATCTTTTTGAGTACTGTGTTTCGGTGAAGGTCCTTCGACACTGACTTGACTATCTTTATTCTCCTTTGTTTGTTGTTTGTTTTCAGTTGTTGAGCTAACCATTGTCTGTATGCTCGCTGCTAGCTCTGTACCAACCATTCTTAATGTTTTATTGATGGTTAGTCTTAAAATTTGGTCCAGTAGTGCTGTTAATTTTTTCGTTATACAATCTTTCACATGTTTCATCAATTCTTCTGCTCTTTCTTCGACAAGTTTAGCATTGAAATTGTTTTTCTTAACATCTGTATTGTTTGTTTGCGTAGAACCTTCGATAATATTGTTTAACGTCGCTATAACACTCGTTACATTTAAAAACGATTTCACTGCGTTATACATTTTATCGATAAATAGCGTTACTTGAGCAGCCGCACCAATCATTTTAACATATTTCGAACTCGATTTACTGAAACCTTCGGCGATCGCTTTATAGGAGTTTTGTAAAGCATTAACAACTTGTGATCGAATACTTTCGAATTCTCGGGACAATAGCTGATGACCAAATAATGCGCCTACAAGGTGTTCTTTCATTTTGCCATACTCCTGTTCGATTTCGTTTTCCGTTTTATCAGATGAATAAAGTCTTTCAACTTTAGCTTTGATCGCACTCGATATGCCTTTCAATAGAATTTCTTCGATCGTTTTGACAATCTTTGGTATGATGCCGTTTCTCACCTGTTCCATTATCGTTTCCGTGATAATATTAGTCAAACATGTCAGAGCGAATTGTTGTGCTACTTGCTTGACGACTCCAAAAAACAATGCTGCTCTCGAAACTGAACCTACCTTAGCTGCAACTGAACCTATCGATGACAAAGCACCTATTCCTGCACTTAACAACGAAACGCTAAAACTAATCGATTTCTGTATCGCCCAATCTCTCCAACTGAACTGTCCTGATATGCCTGCCATAGTCGCGTAGATCATATCGGAAAGACCTTCGGCAATTAGTGCACCACCGATGTTAACGGCACCAAAAGCGGTCAAAACGGCACCTCCGATCACTTGAGTGAGTCCGATCATGGCAACTGCAAACGCTTTCCAATCCCACCAGGATTTATCTTCTTGAATAATGAGAAACTTATCAAGACCGAGACCTTCGAAGAACCTCAGTTCAGTGGGAACTGTTTCGACCTCTTGAAGATCGAGAAAGTCTTTGAAATGCGCTTTTATTCCATCTTTATACGAACGAATATCTCCTTGCATCCTTAAAATGATCGGGTCAATCAGATTCTTATCATTTTTAAATTCAATTGTCAGAATTCTATCTAATAGCTTACTTATTTCTTCACGATTGTCACCGTATTTCAGTTTCGCGAGTCCACCGGACTTTAAAATATTTTTCTCTTTTAGAAATATCTCAATTTTCTGTCCTTCTTCTTCTCTCGTGCCGTATGGCAAATGTGTTTGATACACATATTCATTGTCTGTGCCAATGAACTTGAATAATTCTTCAAGAAATCCTTGGAGACCGTTGGTTTCATGGCCATTATCATTGAACTTGATCTTCGAATACTTTGCATATTTTCCATCAAGTTTCAAAAAATTCAAATTGATATCTTTGATTTTTACTCGTTTTGTTTCAATCAAAATTTTCTTTCCTTCGAGATAACTTTGGAATTGTTTCTTTTCAGAACTCCCTTCAAATAGAGACAAATCAACGTTATTCGGATCAATTCGTCTTTCTTGTAAATCTTTCCAAATCGCTTCATACTGTTCTACTAATTCATTTTGAATTTTATCCTTATCTAATATGTAAACATGTTCACCATTTTTCACATTTAAAATCTCCCATAACTCTTCCTTACAACAAACAATCTTCTGAAAATCTGTCGGAGTGAATTCTTTTTTGTTACTGCTCAATAATTTGACCAGTTCTCCGGATATAGATGGATCAAGGTTTTCTTCGATGATTCTACTCATTTCTTCTTTAGCATTTTGAAATCTCTTTCTCAATTGATTTCGTTGAAGAATTCCTTGGTTAGCTAGAAGATCGAACAGTTCTTTTCCTTTTTCTTTCGGATTCTCATGAAAGATGAAATCATAAGGTTCGACCGTTTGTCCAATCGCTTTCGTTAGAAAATGAATATGTGTTCCGATTACTTCAAATTTGCTCGTGATTTGATCTTGGTAAGGATTTTCTTTCGAAGAAATCTTTTGAAGAATCTCAGCGGTGGCTGTTTGAGGAAGAACTTCAGCGATTTTTAGGTTCGACATCAAATTCCGTTTCATAGCTTCGAAGCATTCTAACGCTTTTTTCAGTTCTCTTCGCGAATCTTTCTTTTTCACAATGAGATCGTCGGTTGACGATTGGATTATACAAAATGCGAGACCTATGTGAGAAAAACCTGAGATATCGCCGCATGATACAGCTTTTTGGAAATATTCCTTCGCTTTTGAATACTCGTTTTTCGAAAGATAAACTTTTCCAATATGATTGGCTTCTTCCGGGTGCCTGATTAATTCATCTATATTCGATTTCTGCCATTCGTTAACCATGTAATTGGTGAATTCTTCGACAAGAGTATCTTTTTGCTTAAAAGTTTCGATAGCATCGATTTTCGTCTTTGCTTCGTCTAACCAAAATGCCCAGCGATTCTTGAGTATATTCTCAAACGCGTCGATTAATTCCTTAGATAATGATTGAGACAGATTCTTCCGGAAAGTTTGCTTGAACTTATTAAACTTGTCGAAAAGTTCCTCTTCAACTTCAAGACGAAGGATATTCTTCAGTTTTAGTTCGGATAATCTCGCTGCTTCTTTGTTATCTCGACTAACCTTTTCTCGTTCTAAAATCACATCCGATAAATCTTCTAACTTCTTTTGTTTCTTATCTTTTGGATATTGCGCGAGATCATACATCGATTCGTAGATCGCCTTGTCGACTTGTAAAATAAACTGTCCAGTTCCAGCTGCTCCATTGCGAGCCGTTCGTCCGAATGCTTGTTCTTCGATTCGAACATTATCTGGTAGATAGCACAAGATCACATGCATTCCTCCTTTACAATTCACACTCGGATCGACATGAACATCCGTTCCTCGACCACCTTTATTCGTTGCTATGATAATATCTCCTCGAGTCGCTGGTTTCTTATAAAATCGTTCTTCGACATTATCTCCATCTCGTCGATATTTCTCGATGGTGTTCGGTGGAACACCATGACGAACAAGTTCATTCCAAATATTTTCCGTTGACTCAACATTTTCGCAAATGATCAGAACAGGTCGCTCGCGCGCTTGTTTCATACTTTCTTCAGCGATGAGATTAAGCCAATTGGCGTATTCGAACGAAACTTTGCTCGGCAATTGATAAAAGCATTTCTTTTTCGACGTCGGAAGTTCAACAAATTGAACATGATACAAATCCGAGAGAAAACTTTGAGCATTTTCCGAACCTAATGTTCCGGTTAGTCCATAGAGACGTTTGCCATATCTTTGAAAAAATGCTTTGTTGGATATAAAAACTGCTTTCAAACTTTCCACTGACACCTTTCGACGGTATTTCAATTCTAAAAATTGTGCTAAACCATTACTCCAACGTGTGGAATATTGTTCAACACCGGTGTCTTTATCAACAACAATAATAGTCTTTTGTTTCTGATTTTTCTTTTCATCGGTCTTAGCGACATCTAAAACAAAATGATCATCTTCTCGCATGATTCGTGCTTGAAATGCACTGTCAATCCAACGATCAAGTTTATAATCAACAAAGCGACGCATGTAACCAGGAACAAAGATATTTCCATTTTTAATATTTTGTTGGATAAACAGAGAAATCTCCTTAGTATTGGCCGAAACATCATCGGCATTTTCAATTTCTGCTCGAAGTACCACGATCCAAATGTTGATGAATAAAGTTTCCAGACATTTCAAACTTTGAATTTCATGCGAAAGATAGAGAACATGTCGCGCACGATCTAAACACATATTATCAACTTCATCGATAATCAAACATTTCTCTCGCTTTTCGTATCGCCGACCGAAAATGTTCTTACTATTGAATTCACTTTCTAAAATATCTTTTTGAAATGCTCCCACTTCACCATAAACAATATTACCTTGTCGAGTATTCAAATCTGGTCGATATGATTGATGGTTCACTTCATCATCGTCGTGACAAATGTGTCCGCTTTCGATTTTTAACAATTGAAAGAATGCGCGACATTTCTGTTCACCTTCGATTGCCAAATCACGATTACTCGAAACGACATCCACTGCATGTCCGCACAAGGCGAAGAACGCGGATGTGATGCCGACGATCAAAGTCTTTCCTTCGCCGGTTCGAATCTGCTCCAACAGTCCTTTATCGCTGCTATGAATAAACAACAAAAGCGCAACGATTTGAGTTTCCTTTGGAAATTGTTTATTATTCGCACATGACCATGCGCGGAATATCAACGGAAGAATTTCTTCGAGATGAGAATAAACATATCGTGCTGGATTGGTTTGATAAGCATCAAGATTGTAAATCGTCTGAATTTCTTGATGAATTTGTGACTTGTCATATCCGTTGGAGGCAAGTTTGCGCAAAGCTTCGCTTTTGAATCGGTTCGCTTCGATAACGATAGTTTCGAGAATCGGTTTTTGTATAACATTTGTTTTGTCTTTTTGTTCATTGATGATTTGTTGGATGATATTATCTGCCGTGGCATCGGATTGATTCACGAGAATAAAATTCGATTGGATCAATTCATCAATTCTTTGTAACCAATTTGAATATTCAAATTTGAGAACAAGATTATTTCCTTGTTCGAATGTTATTCGTTGAAAATGAATGACTTCTAATAATTTGTTCAACGCTTCGAGATTCTTCATCTCTGCGTTCGCTATTCTCTCTGAAATCACTTCGAGAAACTTGAGAAATCGATCGCTGTTTTCAATATTCAACTGTACTCGAATACGATTGAAAAACAGCAATGTTCTCTCCGCACTAAGTTCATCAAGTTCAACACCAGCCTGACGCATCGCTCGATGAAAAATTTTCGAAAATTCGATCTCGTACAACAATGTATCCCATACAGTTAACGAACTATCGGCTAATTGATCGAGATTCTTCTTTGTTGGACTGATATCACGAAGTAATTCAATAATTCGAAGACATTTTTCTTCGGATAATTTCGAATAATTCGATGGAGACGAACTCGCGTGATTGATCTGATCGGTGAAGTGGGTGACGAGTACATTGTTGAATAACAACAAGACTTTCTCGTGAATTTGCGTTAATAAATTCCGAAGTTGTTCAATCTCATTCTTACGCGAATAAATCCAACAAAATTTCTCGATTATGTGTTCGATTAAGGAGACTTTCAACCAGTTCTCTTGCGATGTGAGTAACAATTTTTCAATAACAATCCTCATATCTTCGAAACACGCTAAGCAATTTTGAATTTTGAGAAAAATCTGAATGTCAATAAGAAGCTTTCCATCGGTTTCTAAACGGGCGTTGAAAGTTTCAATCAGATTATTGAAATTTATGACATCATATGGACTTTGCTTATCGAATGTACAAGTAATTTTCGATTTATTCAAATATCCATTCACTTGCTCCCAATTACTTTCTATTTGGCTCTTCAAATCGGAATATTCACCTTTTAAAATCAACGTATAAAACTTGTCGAGAGTCTTTTCTTGTATCACGCAGATGCGATTGAAAATAAACTCCTGTATTCGATTTTTGTCGACATTTCGCTTAACATAGTCAAACAATTCATCGTTATTCTCTTGGAAATATACTGGAAAGTGAACGACAACTTCTAACCAACTTGCGTTACGATTTTGTGCAGCGAGATTCTTCATACACTCTTCAATAACTAACATTTTCATTTCCTGATAAACAACATTTGTCGATTCTCTCAACCAATCATATTTCTTATCTTCCAATCTGGAAATGATCAATTCTAATCGATCGATATGTTCAAAATCTGCTTTGTTCAATTCAAATCTCCCCACTGTTCCGCAATTTGAGAGTTTATCCACTAACCACATTACAAAAGCGACAAGTTTCTCATCAATAGACCCTAATGGTTGATTATCTTCAAGTAAAGTACGAAATAGCATCACAATGTACCATGCAAATTGAATATTAGCTTCATGGGGATAACAACTCTCTTGATGGACTCTCGTGATCAGATTCATCAAGTTAATCCGACTTTTCAATGGAAGTTTTGATCCTTGGCAATATTTGTAGAAATTTTCGTAAATCTCTTCAACAACTTTCGACTTGCCATTGCGTTCATTTGCTAAAAACTTCAGTATTGCTTCGTAATCTTCTACCGAATATTTCTGACTCGAAGGTATTTTTCCCTCATTAAAAATCGGGTAATAACGGACTAGCTGGATGAGTAGTTTCTTTTTTATCTCGCCTAAATCGGATGAATTCTCGAAATTTGAAAGTATTTTATTCAAAAAATCATCGATATTTTCTTTCGGACAATATTCCAACATATCTATGACACTTGGTAATTTGTTGTTGAAAAATAACCTTTCAATTTTCTTTTCTAACAATTGATCAATTTGAATATTTCCTTTTAACTTTCGACTTATTTCGCGTCGGAAAAGGCAGAATTTTGCGTCAGATAACAATTCACCATGTGACTTCGTGAAATCAAATAATGGTGCATTGATTTTGTTCAATCTCTTGACTATCATTCGACGTGTCTTATCGTCAACAGTTTCAATCTGAGAAAATAATTCATCAAGTGTTCTCAACAGAGTTGCTTTCTCATCGAAAATAATTGTTTCATTTTTCTGTCTATCGGTACACTCGATGATCTCATCAAGATACTGACAGATCTTTTCCACATCGACAGGATATTGGTTCAATATGGTTTCGATTTCTTTTTTGTTTTCAAGCGCAAAATCCGTGCTGGGATTGTCTAAAGGCCGAAAGATTTTTCTCACGTCAACTTCGTCAGATAGGCGGCTGCGAATGTCTTGGCAAACAGTTCTCGTTTTGTCTAACTGATCGTTCGATAGTCCAAAGAACTCATCGGGCTTTTCTTTCGATAGTAATTTTTGTAGATTAACGTAAAACTCAAAAGCATCACCCGGTGTTCTGCTCTGATCTGTCATTATCTGTTTTAGTTGGTCTAAATCTCCTGAAATTGCTTCGACAAACTTTTGTTTCATCTCCATCGTTGATTGAACATTTTCCTCATGTTCTTTCATCTTCCTTTTCGCTACTTCATGCTCAAAAACAATTTTGGCAAACTCGAGATTCTCACGGATGTCGTCGTTCGATTCCTCATGCAAAATCTTTCCAATCAGAACATCAATCCTCTCACAGGGAAATCGATCTCGATTAACAATCGTCATATTAAGAAACTGAATGATTTTTTTCTGTTCAATCAATGTGTGTTCACCTTTGCAATCTGCCAATTGCTTAAATATATCGTCCACCAATGCAAAATCAAACAACGTATTGAAAGCGTCAATCTGCTGTTCGATTGTGAATGCGGGACGCTTTTTCTTAGGAGGTTTACCGCGGAATTCTAGCAATCGATTCCAATCATTAGATCGTTCGATCGTTTGGAAATCTTTCTTTTTCTCAGGAGAAAATTTATTCACTCGAAAACCTTCGATACTGAGAGAAAATTGAAAGAACGTATCGGAGATATACGATCGTGGATTCTCCATAAGAATATACTCGATTTTCATGATTTGCTCGATTAGTATATCGAACTGTTTCTCATCGAGATTGATCGTTGTCAAATTATGATGTAAAACGAATAAAAAATCATCGAAAATTGCTAATTGTTCGATGTTTGTTAGTAAATTCTGTAACGCGTCTTGTCTATTCTTATCAAAGAACGAGCTCCGCGAAAAAATGACGAAGATTTCTAAACAATTCGATGGATTACAATTGTGATTGAAAATTTCCATCGCTTCAATCAATTTCTCTGCGTACAACTTGGGATCGAAAGCATACGGGGGGAATTCTTTCAGCAAATATGAAGATTTCAGGCTCAAATCGACATTTTTCAATTGAACTTCATCAGCGATGCGAATAGTTTGTAAAATATCGAACAGAATTTGACGTCGATCGTCTTGACTACATTTCAATGTTTCTCTTGTCCAAATTAACCAATACTGTCGTCGAATTTCTCGATGAAAACCTCGAGAAAAGTCGATTAATAGATCTAAAACATGACTATTTTCTAACCATGATGTTTCAATCAATAAATCGTTGATAGCTTGTTGTTGAATTCGAAGATATTGGTAACCGCCGAAGCGATAATCTGATTGTTGCAAATTGTACAGGAAATTGTAGGTAAAATTTGAAATGTTTTCAAGATTAACGTCGTTGGCTGTTTTACAAACAGAAAATTTATCGAATAATGCAATGAGAAAGTCAGTGCTGAGTCGAAGCAGGTTTTCTTCGTTCGGATCTTGATTGAATTGACGGACAAAAGCAATGTTTTTATGATAGATTTCTTCTTGAAATGATTTCCAGTCTCGTCGGTGCGAGTCTTCTTTGAGAATTTCGATGTTTTGTCGCGATAGAACAGCTTTCGAAAGATCTTCTTGTGGCATTTCCATAATGGCATCTGCGCGGCGTTGTAACATAGCAAAACGTTGCTGAAATCGGTGCTCGTTGATAATTCGATTGAGCGCACTTTTCAAGTTGGCAATTTCAGTACTACGAACTTGTAATCCGGTTGCTAATTGATTGACATCGACTTTTTCTATTTCGGTTCGTAATTGTTGATAAACGGTTTGATACTGTTGTTGATAATTGCTGTAATGAGTGAAGATATGCTGTGCTAGTTGAATAACTCCTATATTCATTTGATTTGTGTCGAGTTTTTCATGTTGGAGTTTGACATTGGTTTTATTTAAAGCTTGGAAGAAGTTTTCTTTGAGAATCAACATTTGTTGGACGTCATGTTCGATGTCAGGTAATGTTTGAACAGTGTGTGAAGGTATATCTTCTAGTTCGGCCAGTTTCTCTAGAAATTGCTTGGCATCCGAAGCCAACCAATGATGGTAAGTCGCTGATTTGATTGGATTTATAAACTGTTCGAAAAAATGCGAGGTTTGCTCAAAAACATCATGACGATCAATCGCGTGTATTTGTTGAATAACATCTTGATTTAGATGTTTATTAGTCTTTTCAGATCCTCTATGCGTATTTCTATCGAGATATTTATCGTAAAATCTAGGACTACTGCTATCCTCTTCCATTGGAAGCATAGAATAATCCGTGAATGGTTGACTTTCTTTCTTGTCTTCTCTGTGCTGTGGGCAAAGACGGCCACCTTTCAGATTACCTAGTTCTCGGCTTGTAACCCAAGCTTTGAAAAAGTTGATCGAATTACTTATGGCAACATAGTCGAGACCATCTTTGCCATGTTTACCAGCTTCACCTGGCTTTCCCACTCTCCCATTTCGGATTTCGAAATTTTCCACAACAGTAGGATGTGGGATTTCTGGAGAAACATCTTGCAGTGCAACAAGTTTTATCGTTCCAAAATTCCCACATTCCCCAGCAAAACCACCTGAACCAGCATCACCTCCATTACCACCAGGTTTGCCATCGGTGCCAATACGTCGATAACGGCATGATTCAACACCACCTGGTAATGCCCATTTCTGTTCTAGTTCTTTTCGCAACGCTTCCTTATCAGCATGTATTCCGTCAGTACCATCTAAGCCAGATACTCCATTACCGCCATCTTGTCCATTTCCTCCTTGTCCACCACGAGCTGATACTTCGATTTCAGGCAATTGATTGCCAACGATATACACATGTCCCGCGCTTTTTCCATGCTTACCATCTGAACCATCTTCTCCTTTATTTCCATTTCCATATGCATCGTTTCCAACTCCATTTCTAGCTGGTTTGTCTTTCCAAATATCCTTCGCGTTGTCACCATCAGTGCGGATTTTTAAGATTTTTTTCTCTTTAATCAACTCTTGATATGGGCTAATTATCACGATATTCACTCCTGAATACTCCGGCCCGGATAAATCAACATCAATGTAGAGTTTATCGCAATTAATAATGCGTATTTCATTATTCGGACAAAGACAATCGGGATAATTCGTTTTGACAGTATCCAACATTTTACTCAGAATACCCGAAGTTGTTTTGATTTGAAAAATACTATAGTCTCTTTGTCTAAAATTTTCGATTTCATACCAATGAACATACGCATTTAGAATCGTTTTCAAATTGTTTACTTTTGCTGTCAGGATCGTTTTCAAGGTATGGTTGCTTCTCTCAAAAGTCGCTTTTATTATTTGAGGACATTCATATTCCCGAATTTCTAAGCTTTCAACGAAATCTTTGTAGATAGAAAACTCATCATCATAATTCCGACGAGAATTATTTAGTTTATTTAATGTCTCGCTTACTAAATCTCTCATTTCTTGACCTCCGAGAACATCGTAAGTCGTTAATAGTAGGTACAGATTCTTTTCGAAATGATTAAAAGCGACTAAAGCCTGATGACGAAACGCTAACAAATCCGATGTGAAGCTTTGCACTGTACTGAGAATACATTGTCGTAAACATTCGCTGATTTCTGAACTACCTTTCTCATCACCATCTTCAATAAATCCTTGGCATCTTTCTACGACGACCAACAATTGACTCTGGTCGAAAATCTGAACGATTTGTTTAATATCATCAAACGTTCGACTCGATTGAAGTTGCTTTAGAATTTCTTGCTGGATTTGACCATCTGGAGAAAACACTTTCTGTTCAGACAAGTGATCATACCTTTCATGAAGACATTGCCGAAATACTTTCTCAAATCCTGGTAGAACTTTTTCCACTTGCGAGAAACGACGTAACATCTTAGTTAAATCTTCAAATTTTCGCGTCAAATACACAAAATGGCTATGACTTGTATCATTCAACCGTTTTACCACATCGTTAACAACTTCAGACGGCACTGAATTGTGTGGTTGGCGATATGCTTGCACTATTTCCATATATAAAACGATTTTCTGATCATAATTAGTATTGTTCGGATCTATCGAAGCTAAATCTTCGCTAACTAGCTGAGTATCCCACGTGTGATTTGTCACCATACGTTTAACAGAACTAAGTAAATATTCGTGTAGATTTTTCTCGAAAATTTCCATCGCATTCAAAGATTTGTATCGAAACGAGACTAAACTTTTCATATAACAATCGACTTCGTTCATGATTGTCTGTCGAAGATATGTTCCGATGTAATAGGCTGCTCTCTCATCTTCATCTCCCACTGAATTGCGAAGTATCTCGAAGATTTCTTCGACATGTCGCGTATCGAATGAAACTTTTTTACAGAGATCTTTGATGCAATTTTCTATATCATCAAGATTAGAAATGTGTTGGGATATTTTTCGATAAATATCCTCGGGTAAATTCTCGTTAATACTCGGTAATTCGAGTAATTCATAACAAGCTGGTAAAAGGCGTGGAAATATCGGTTGGAACTGACTGAGTGTTTGTTCCAACTGAGTGAATCGGTCGAGAACACTTTCAACTAGATTTAAACTCTGTGCAGCACATCGAGTTGTTACTGAACTATTCTCAATCCTACAAATCTGCAACTGTCCGCTCAAATGTTGGCATTGTGAAAGAAATTCACGTGCAGGAGTAAAATTCTTTCGAGTTTCAAGATAATCCTGAAGCGATTTGAGAAACTCTTCATAATTCAACGTAATCATAGCGTTGATTCGTTTTGTATAATCGAATGTTGGATTTTCGCTTCGATCGATGATTATCAAAAGGATATTTTCATGAAATTTATCTTCGAAATGCTCAAAATTTTTGTGAAGTTTCTCTTCAAGAGATAATAAAGCAAAAGAACATTGCTTCATACTTTCAAACATCAGATTGACTATCGAATTGATTTCTAAACACTCGCTTTTCTTAGTATCTTCACTTTGATTTTGAATAGTTTCAATTTGATCAACGCATTCTTCGATTTCCTTGGGAACTTCTTTTCCGCTTATTCGTTGTATTGCTTCGCTAATCTGATCAAGTCTTGTAATAGTACCAATTATCCTCGACATTTCTTCGATACGATTCACAATTTCTTCGGGTTTTAACGGCGTCAGAATCGTCAGAATTACCTGATAAAATTGACTTCTAAATTTCTCGATCACTTCAATACTTTTCTTATCCTCAACATGATCTTCTATCTTATCCAGAATCGACATTGTCTCGCTATTATCACTAAACCATAATTTCATTTTCTCGATATTTTTCGCCTCCGAAAATTCTTGTTTGGAAAAGTTCGTTTTCAAAAATGCCCAGTGTCCATTTTCCAACGCCCATTCACACGCCACCGCATTCACATAGGCGTGTAGTAAACTATTTTTCGACATTAATCTTTCCCTCGGACACTCGATAAACTGATATTTATAAACACATTGTCCGATAACTCCTGTCAGCCAGTGTAAAAGCTTCTTATTTATCTGTTTAGAAGTCGAATCTATGATACAGATGTAGCGTAAATCATAATCGAATTGATATTGTTGGCTTCTTTCGACAACTAATGTAACATAGTGTTTATTGGAGATCTTTCCTATGCAAGTGAAATCTCGATTGATATCACATTTGATCTGCTGTTTGAAACTGTGCGCATCTTCTGAGTTGCGAAGATCGTATATCGGAATCGATGGACAGTGGTTTCTATAATGCGCGGATTTGGTAAACTGATATTGAGAAGGCGAAAGTTCTTCATTAGCGGGGAATATCTTTGATAAAAAATTCAATATTGCACCTTCTTCTGCTTGTGGCGAAGTATCTTTCAAGTATTTATTTAGACTCTTTAATTCCCATTTTGCATCAATATAACCTTCGGAGACTCGGCCGGACGCGGTCTTTTTATACAAATACCAACGGCTCGAATTCCCGGTAAATTTCGATATGAAACGAGAATCAGATGTAACTAATAAGAAGAGGTATCTTTTCTCAAAAGGATTTCTACTTTCAAGCTTCGCATTTTCTTCCTGCCAATCTTTTACAAATTTCATCACTTCGCTATGATTCGAACAAGAGCGCCAATCGATGGTATGAACACAATTAAACGAACGTTTGAAATCCTTGATTTCGTCAATATACGGAACAATCCGGGAGAAAAACTCGTCCTCGTTAATCTGATCGTTTAAATTTTTAACGCCATTATTCGAAGAAACAGGAAACAAACTCGAAGGAAACGTCGTCCGAGAACATTCATTGGACAGCTTTACCTGTGGTCTTGATAACGAATGAATTTGCTCTCGAAGTTTCGCCTTTTCTTTGGTGAAATACGATAATGCTTGTTCATAACGTCGCTCGAGAGGATAATGTTCAATAGCACCGTATGCTTCTTTTAATCTTGCGCAAAAATTTATGATTTTTGTCACTTTGCATTTGAATTTGAACAGATTACTGGGTAAGTCGGAGTTTGGAGTCGAATTGACAAAAGTTTCATCCGCAGTAGACATTTCCATGATCTCGTTGAAAACTTGTTTCTCAACTCTTTTTGAGTACGTACGGTTCAAAAATTCATTTAAAAATGATTTACTATTGATTTCTAAGCGAAAAAACTCATTTTTTCTTTCACCCATCGAAAACCAACTTTCCCAATGATGTTCTCTCTCTCCAGGATTACAAATAAATAAAACCGATCGACTAATCGAATCTCCACAAATATCCTTCCATTTCTGAATTTCTCTTTCATAATCCAATACTTTCTCCGACTTTTTCACCAAATAACATTCGATATCATCTTCTTGCGGTAAAGACAGAGCCACTTCGTATGTCATAATTTCTCGTAATCTCATAATTGATTCTCTTCTTAAATCATATTCTCCGATCTTCTTCTCTTCGAAATGATCGTTTAAAAGCGCTGCGTAGTATTCCACTTGTTCGATACAACCGATTTCTAAGTTACATTCAACCAATGCACATAGATTTTCTCTTGTCTCATCAGAAGTGTTCGGTCGTAAACTATCTGCCAGTTTTTTGCGTTTTCCTTTTAACGAAGAACATCTTCGATCGATACCTACATAGCCAGGCTCTCTTGAAATCTCCGTATTTAAGACGCGAGCATCACATCCTACCTCGAGAAGATATCGCGCATCTTTCACAATACTTATACGACTGGTTCGCAAGTTTTCCGGGTCAAACTCAGCAATACATTTTTGAAAATATTCCCTTACCGATAGCAAATTATCGTGAACAAAACCGTGTCGATAGTACTCATAATTTACAGATGCAATGTCATAGTAAAGTTTAGCAGTCAGATATGAACTTTCAAATACAATGCCATTCTGTAAACGAGTTCTCAGTACATGGCAATATTCACTTATTTCATCGGATGAAGTTATCGCTTGTTGTTTGATTCGCGCAAGTTTTATTTCTTCTGCTGAGTTAAATCGGGCATCGCTTTCATTCCGTTTATTCTCTATGTTTATTTCTCTATGATCTGTCGTTGTTTGTCTGGTAAAACCACTCGTTAGTTTTTCAAACATACCTGAGTTTACAAATCCTACCTTAATTTGTTACGATGGGAATGTCTAAAGGAAGAATAAAAAGCTCATGTGTGCAATATAAAAAAAGGCAAATCATACAATTATTTCAGCTAGATGGAGTACTAGATCGTCGTCGAAGTATTGGTTTACCCGAACTTCAACTCATAAGTGCATTTGAAGTATCTGTAAGAAAAAAAATGTCCAAAAATTCATCTTCATCATTCTTTCGCTCCGTTCTACAATATAAATAATATTTTTCTATTCTATATATCGATGTACCGATATCAGTCTGCGTACTCAGATCGACGGGGTAAATCTGAGTAAGACTATGAGAAAACATCACTCGTATGCAAGTCGACATCTATAACTTCATGAGAAAAGAAAAAAAATGACATAAGTCACAATAAAGCTAGAATACATTGCGAGCACGTATAACTTCGCCTACTGTACGTCTACGCGTGTTATTAATACTAAATAATCACAGAACAGATAGAGAAAAAAATAGTTGAAGTATTTTTTTGTGCCCTCCGATGTGAGCGATATGAGAGAGTTGTCGTTAGAGGTCTCGAAAACAAGTTATTGACAGAAGTATTTGGATAGTATACCCTCCTTATCTGAAACAGACAGTATTCCCAGACGGAGTATATACACAGAAAGCCTACTATGTCAGCCTCGCTATTTTTTATTCACATGTGAGTATTTTGTATGCTAAGGATATTATAACTTCATGTTTTCAGACGAGGCGGTGGCATCGGTCCAAGTCGATTTTTTTATATGGGCTCTTTTCATTATAGTCCTCTGATTTCGATGATAATCTAGTATTTAACTGCGTTGTTTGTGACAGTGATGCTTTACCTGATTCATAAATCAACATTTGTGTTCTACGTTCTATTCTTGTTGTTACTACAGTATGAGAAAATGTTTATTATAAAGTGCGTGTCGACGCGCGCGAGACGTGTTAGAAGCAACTATGTTATTATATCATCACATTCTTTTCTCCTTGATTAAAGAAAAAACCCTATAGTACGACTGGGATTTTTCCATATCGTCCGTTGTGTCGGTGAATCATATTATTTTAGTTTATATATTCATTGTAGATAACTAACATCTTATTCGACTAATTATTGTTTCGGCTTAACTGAATGGTATTTTATTGACATTCTTCGCAAACGACTGTGAGTATTTTATGAACTGAAGGTAACATGGTTTTTGAGAAAAATCAAAACTCACATGATAGAGGTGTCTTGCCGATTAAGCCATTCAAAGGAGGTGAAGATGAAGCTAGTAGTGATGAGGATGATGTTGATATAGGCGATATATCGTGTATGCCCCACATTTCGATCGTGAAAAAGAAAGAAGAGAAGATTTATCAACATCTTCTACCGATTGACAACGGGTTTTACGATGGAACATTAGATAAAGATCTTCTGAGGGAAGGTTTAGGTACATATAGTTTAAATAACGGCGAGGAGTATTATTCAGGTTCGTGGAAACTTGATAGACCTAACGGATATGGTTATCATATTCAAAACTATGGTTCGACTATATATCACGGAGAGTTTTACGAAGGAAAGCTTAAGGAAGGATTTGGAAAAGTGACACTGTCCAATAAATATGAATATCGAGGCACAGTTACAGACGGACAATTTCACGGATTAGGATTTCTCTCGATAAAAATAGCAGGTCTTACTGATATGGATAAACCAAATGAGAAAAAAGAGACTCTTCGACTAATCGCCGAATGGGACATGGGAAAAACAAAGATCATTTATGTCGACGAAGTGAAGCGATATTACCATTATCATAGTGAGAGTTTTTACAAGACTTTAGAATCAACTCTGTCATCATACAATGAAACTTTACAAGAACAAAAGAAATATTTTGAAATTTTACTCGATATAGTAGAGAAACATCTAAATCTCAGTGTCCTAGATGAAATATCCATACATGCTGATCTACCGGCAACATTACGATCATCAGCAAATTTATTGTACGCGTTAGATGAGAGTTACACAAACTTGAAAAAATATACTGAGATAGACACCGGACCAAATTACATCGAGCGAGTTAAAAGCGCGTGTACACGTGGTTTGCAAACCTATGCAAGAAGATTAGCATCGACAGACGATGGAGATAATCGCAGTGGTTTTTCAGTAAGAGACATTTTTGACAATAAACTAAGTAGTTTTACAAAACAGTCAAGATTAGAAGATCTGATTCCAGTTCTTTCATTCGATATCTTCGCTATCGATTTGATTAAGAAACTGGTGAATTCGGTGAATGAAAGATCAGTTCAAATTCTTACTGAGAATCGACCGGAGTTCATCGAACATCATAAGAACCGCATTAAATCAATATGGGCAGATTATCTCGAATGTTTAGCGAATACAAACAGTAGCGGTGAGAGATATCAGTTTTATTTTGATTGCTATGCAAATTTGTTGAAACTATCCGCGGGTAACGAAGCCAAAGATAAAATCGAGTTAATCATCATAAATGCAATGACTCTCGTTTTAGAGAATCTGAAACCTTGGAGGGTTATCGATGGAAATAATATTTTCCATGAAAATACTCCCATTAAAAAGATAGGAGATGATTTGATCATCGGAATTTTGCGCAATACGAAAAGTGAGATGAAAGGATTTTTTCAAAACAATGCCGACGACTTTGAGGAGATTTTTAAATCGATCATTGTACATTATGAAAATCATTTAGTGAATAAACTTCATCCAAATTATCAGAATAGCATTCAAGAAATTATTCAGATTAATGAATACTTTATCGAGATATCGAAAACAAAAAATTCGCCAATTCTCACTTTACAATTCGAAACAATAAAAACATATGTTCACGAGTTAACAACATATATCGATCGTTTTCGAAATTTCAACCATCAATTTCGTGAATTATCTAAAAAATTCTCTTCTCTGTTTCCGAACCAAACGAAAACACGCTTCGATCTAATCGCATCGGAGATTCTACGTTCAATCGAAGATTTGCTTATAAAAATACTCGCAACTGAACCGATAATCACCAATCGAGATGAAATAGTGAGAAAGTATTCTCCTCCGTTGGAGAATTCTTTGCGACAAGCTGCTCATGATAAGCTCATAAACGACGTCGTTGTTCTATTAGATATGGGTGCGAAGATCAATGATCGTAGTCCGAGTTCAGGACAAACTGCGTTGCATAGGGCAGTTGAAAATCAAGATCGGAACATGATTTTATTACTTTTGAAACGAGGTGCTAGCAGAAATATAGAAGATAATGATGGCCGCAGTCCAAATTATTATGCGAAACAGAATAATTTAGACTTCGAGCAGATTTTTCTTGAAGGGAACGATGCAGATAAAGACACGTCGGTTCGTTTGTTTGCGCTACAAAAGTTGAATGATTTTCTAGCAAATTTACTTTCTCTGAACTTGACTTGGATTGTTGAATGCAAAAATATCGAAGCATCGAATCAATATATCCAACCATGGACCAGATTTCTCTTCAAAATTCCAGGAGTCAGAGCTCTACATCTCTCAACAGCTGAGCCATTTGAGAAGTATTTATTTGAAATTGCCGGAATGAAAGGTCTCTATAGCGTAATCGATATCGAAAAAGCGACATCACAAGTAAAGACACCGCATAAGCATTATACGTTAGAAACGGTCAGAGACTTCGTTGACATCGTTAGGACAATGAATTTCCCCCTCCGATTCGATTCATCTGCAGTAATTCGAGCACGGGCTGATTTCATCACGGCTATATCGAATTCGTTGAAGTATCTGAACGATCAAGTGAAATACAGTAGTTTAGAACAGTTTAAGGAAGAATTTCTTTCTCCATTTAGACGTGTAACTGAAAACATTGGATGTTATGAGGAATTTCACAAGAAATTAGAAACAATTGAAACATACTTTGTATACGAGAGAAAATTGAGAGAAATAACTGTTGAACAAGCGTTAGAAACCTTTAAAAGGAAAAATGGTGCATTACCTGGATGTGATTTAGTTAAGAAATACTTTAAGAATTACGAAAAGTATTTTAAAAGGTACTTTTATCAGATCATCGAACGAAAATCTTCCAGTGCCATTCGGGATGTTATCAGCGAAACGAAGAAGAATGCTAAATTTGATAAGAACACTATCCCACAGATTATCGCTGGATTGTCAGTCATATTTTCCCTTGGAATTTCGGATTTTATCGGAAAAAATTCCGAAAATCAATACGTTTTAAAAGAAAACTTCGATAAGACATGTTTTCTACAACCGCATTGTATCCAAATTCTCGGCGTATTTTTCTTATTGAACATGAATGACGAGAAAAATGACTCTCTACTGAGTGGGCTAGCAGAAATCACTACTGGGCAAGGTAAATCTTGGGTTTTAGCACTTTTAGCTGCATATTTCAGTTTAATCGGTTATCGAGTGACAGTTAGTTGCTATAGTGACTATTTGACTAAACGCGATAGTGAATATTTTCGACGCTATTTTGAACCGTTCGATCTGAACAAATCTGTTCAGTATCGGACGTTTAAAACCATGTGCGAAGAGCAATTAGTGAAAAAAAACGAGAAGAAAAACTTACGAAATCTCATTTCGGACATTCTACAAGGTGAAAATTTATCACCGGAAGTTCGAAACGAAGCCATGAAAGAAAAATCGATTCTTCTAATCGACGAAGTTGATGTTTTCTTCTCGGACGAGTTCGGTATGCCATACAAACCAGGACTTCGAATTCCAAATCGATCATTAGCAAAAGTTCAGAAGGATATTTGGCAAAAGACATTCACTCGTCAAAAGAATATACACAAATCATCGGAAACCGAACTAATTAAAGAAAGTTCGACGGATAAATTCATTGCGACATTAAACGAATTCAATATGTTAAATAAGCATTTGAAATCGATGATCGACACTGCCGCCGAAATTTATCAAGATATGAATGGTACAAATGAATTAAGAAATAAATACCGAATTGAAGGCAACAATTTACAAACCAGAGATGCAAATGACAAATTCGTGTCGACAGTTTGGTATGGTTATGAAAATAGTTTTTATTATTTAAAATTAATGCATGAAAAACACGGTCGTTTCCATGAAGAGGAACTAAACGAAGAAAATTTTGGATATTTTTCAATTCAATGTGGACTTCTTTCATATTCGGAACTTCCGAAGACTTATCATAGAATATTCGGTGTCAGCGGAAGTTTACAATGTTTATCAGCTGCTGAACGATCTCTATTGGAATATTATGATATTCAACAAAGTTTGTATTGTCCCTCATTTTTCGGTGGATCAAGATTCATTTTTGATGACATGAAGGATTTTCTCATTAAGGAATCGAAAGAAGAGTGGGCGGAGAAGATTGCGACTTGTGCTAGAAGAAATCTTTCACATCAGAGGTCAGTCTTGATATTTTTTTATGATGAGAATCAATTGAAGGAGTTCTATTTGAAATATTCAGCAAATCTAGGTATTGATCCGTATTTTGCAACACAAAACGAGATTTATGTAGGAGAAAACTGCGAGAGTATTGACAGAGAAAGATTCATTCGAGATGAATATGCAGGTCATCATGGGAAAGTGACATTGTTGACGAGAGAACTAGGCAGAGGTGTCGATTTTCAAACCGAGCCGATTGTCAATCAAAACGGAGGTATGCATGTTATTCAAACATTCTTCTCTGAAAATATCAGAGAGGAAATTCAAATACGAGGAAGAACTGCGAGGAAAGATGAACCGGGAAGTTATGAATTGATTGTATGTCTTCAACATTTACGAAATCCTGGACTGTCAGGCATGAACACATGGAAATTTACAGCAGTAACAAAAGATACAACTTATAAAGAGTTGGATCGACAAAGGACAGAGTTCGTTAACAAATCTTGTCAAGAAAAGATTCGTACTATCGAAGGAAATAGTGGAAATCATAAACGAACCCTATCTTTTTTCCAGAGAGCAGTTAGTGAATGTAATGACCGGAATCGCCATGAATTTATCAATGAAATTGCAAAATTACAATAACTGAAATTCTTTTTTTTGTATGACGCGTCAACTTGTAAACTTTTGTTTTGCTCTGTAACTTCTGAGCAACACATATGGTGATGTACACATATGAAAAGAACGATTGCCGTAGCGAAACTTACGTTTGGATCGATAATGTGAAAACTCACCCTGAAATTAATTCAGCAATAGAGTAAATCATCATTGATATGATATTCTTCTTCCAAAGAACATTCGCTTTCGAACCCATCGAAGATTAACTCTATCACTTACATATGATACCGACATGCCAAACAATGAATAAATTATCGAAGAACAATCGTTCGGCTTACCGAAGCCCGATCATCCCATATGTGTTGACTTCAGTTGATTTTCTCTCTTTTTTTCTTTTATGTATGATGTTTGCTTTGAAGTGGAAATTGTAGGTTTTTTTCAAGATGCGTGCTGTTTATCCCAATTCTTTTTCTATTTCAGATACAACGAAATGCTTCGATGTGTTCTGCTCGCCTTTTTTATCACTGGCGCGTTTGTTAGTGCTGATGTATTCGACATATTCAATGATCCGATAAAACCGAAGCCCGAGGTTGTCGAAGTTGAGACGAAACAAACAACAATGAAGCCTCCTGTTACTCAAGTATGTCTAAAGCATTTCTTTTACTCAGTAATAAATCGTAGATTACAGAAAAATACTAATGTGGTAAATCCGAATGCATATAAAGAAAAATATCTAACGATACTCAACACTTATCGAAGTGTTATTGGTAATTGGATGAAGATGCTACCGGTAAGAATTGACTTGTATCATTGGAAACTAACGAATTAATTTAGTCCGAAGATGTGGGACTCTATCGAATGATAGTGAAACTATCACCTGACACAATATCTCGTTTCAAAGCATTCGCTTCGAATGCACAATCCGATGAGGTTTGATTTCTATTCTTTTTCTCCTCTATTTCATATCTCAAACATTTCAGACCAAAGATTTGCATGAAGTACATATGGTATCCAAACTTCTCAACGACGCTACACTTCGAATCGAAGAAATCATACCTTCATTTTCTAAGAAAACCTTGCGAGAACGGTTACGATCTGTAGATATTGAGAAAATACTTCTAGTACGTGCTGTTCTATCCGTAAATCAACTTAGTCGACTGATGTTTTCTTGTATAGGGTGCGCTTCTGGCAACTGCCATCGGATTAATCGCAGCCATAAGTGTTCAAGCTAGAAATAATTTTCGACGATCGTTTAAAGTTCTGTTCACATTTATATTTATCATATCAGTTTTACAGAACTGTTACGGATTTTATCTGGTCTGTTTGGGTCAACTTTTATTGACAAAAAAAACTTAGTGAATATGTTTTGTAGGAGGAATTGGCGAAAATCGATACAGTACTTATCAAAACTTTACCGCAACATTGTTTAAGTTATTCGCATGGATTTTTTCATACGATGAAACTGATATTTACTCGAACAGTTCAAGCCCCACATGATGATTGCCTCGAATATCAAAAAGCTTTACGTAATATTCCTCATGCCCGCGCTACACTAGCTAAAGTAATGTTTCGAAATGATCACATGAGAATGTTCATGAAACTCTTTCCTAGGCTGTATCGCTAACTGTGGCCCAATTGTTCATCACACCAATTGGTGAGATTGGCGAAAGCATCTCGGCATTTTTTGCAGGTTTAATGCGTCATGTGCCTTTTGTTGCATCACCAATCGTAATTTTATCCGTTCTATTTTTCTTATTCATACTGATTATGACAAGATCACAATATGCGTTAACATCAGTCTATGGACTTTTAAGTTTCCATCCTGTTGTGGCACCTGATGTAACGAAGTCGCCTGAATATTTGAAGAAGGTAAATCAGTTGGAGCTCAAGGAAAAGGAATGTGAAAATTTGAAACAGAAAATAAATGAATTGAAACAACTAACCCTTCCGCCTCCAAACAACACGACATCATCAATAATCAGTCCACATCCAGTGAATAGCAACATACCTCTTTCTGATGAATCACCATCATTGTCTGAACAAACAACTCCACCAGCTGAAGTTCCTTTGTCAGAAGAACGCGGTCAAGACGTGCCAGTGATTAATTCTCCTCGTACAGGCTTTACAGACGAATGAAGGCAGCTTTTAAACGTTCTCATTTTAACCTTTTCTTTATGTGTTAGTGTCCACGTATAATTATATCGAAGCATCAAGAAAAAAACTGTTGCTTTAAGTCTGTTGTTCTATTACGTGAGTTTTAGTTTCTTCTTCTTTCAATAAACACGAATAACTGTATGAAGATGTAAAGATTTACACTTGAATTATTATTGCACTTTGGTTTGACTTAATGAAGAAGGTTTCAGTCGATTTTTTTTTCTTTCTTTTCACTACATAACGATATATATGACCACACCAAAGAAAATTTTTTCTTTCTTTCGCTATTGAAAACAAATGCATAGAGATGTAATTACACAACATGATGTCACTATTTCATATTTTGTAATGAAAGTATTTTATCAAAGAGAAGCTTCAGCAGCAAGATGATTCTGGAAGATTTACCCAATGAATTGTTCATCGAAATCTTTCGATGTTTATCTACCTTAGATCTACTTCGATCCGTCTACAATCTCAATTTTCGTTTCAATCAACTTCTCTTCGCTCACTTTCTCACTTCTACCATCGATTTTCGATCAATAGCTCTGCGTGATTTTCGTCTTGTTTGTCGAGAATATTTACCATTATTAGCCAATCAAATAATCTCATTGCGACTTTCCAATGATGATAGAACACCACAACAAATGGAAGTTTTTCTTGAACATGGTTTAACACTTCACCAACTACCCAATTTACAATCACTTTCATTGTATGCCATTAATTTACAGGAGGCAATGCTCCCAACAATATCTCAATTGAGATCTCTTAATCGTTTAACTCTAGCTGATTGCTCTCTGTCTTGTAATCAAAACATAAGTCAAAATTTCATCGACGCCATCTGGAGTTTGCCGACTCTGACTTACTCTTATCTGAATATTAACTTCAAAGAAAATACAGTTATTTTACCAACAGTCAGGTCGGTGTCATTAAAATGTTTATCTATTTGGAGTATTACATATGATCAAATTCAATTTAATACTATTTGCCGACATACACCTTGTCTAGAACAATGTTCTATTCTATTCAATATGGATTCTCCTGATCCGGTCGACCCTTTTCAACATGAGTTCCCATCAATGACTCGCTTTAGCCTACATTCATCTCATATAGAAGAAAATCATTTAAACTATGTACTGCAAACGATGCTGAATTTAAGGCAATTAATTGTTGATATTGATTCTCTTGATTCTCATTCATCAAGTCCGATTTTTAATGGTTATCAATGGGAAACGATCCTTCGTCGTTACTTACCTCATCTACAAGTTTTTCGATTGCGAATGAAATTCTCTTTTCCGGATGAAGATGATTTGGACGGACAAGTAGCTGATTTACTTCGATCTTTTCGCGGTAGATTTTGGCTTGAAGAACGTCAATGGTTCGTTCAATGTCAATGGAATGAAGAAGGTCAAGCTTGTCTGTATACATTACCCTATCGATTTACAGATTTTCAAACGAGTTCTTCGATGCAGTGCCTATCCACATGTCCCAACAATGAACTTTTCTCGACATTTCACTATGTTGATGATCTTCTCATGGAGTATTATGTCACTCAACCAGAAATTGTATCGTCTATTCGTTTCAACAACGTCAGGGACTTATCGATTCATCCTTCCATTTCAAACCAATTCTTGTCTCGTATTTCTCAATTGGAACAAGTGACTTCCTTGACCGTTTGCATTACGGATAGTACTGATACTAATACTGATCTCCAAACTCTCCTGAATCGAATGCCTAATCTTTCCTCATTCGGTTTTAATCCATGGTCATTACATCCCAGACGTCTATCGCTCCTTCGACTTACACATCCAAAAATTTCTCTACTCGATTTGCGATATGCCTGGCAACATCTTGAAGCAGACGACTGTGCTATGCTGTCGCAATCGCCGTTAGGTCAACAGTGTGAAGTTCTGCTAGTTCGAATAAGAAAATGTGATGCAGTACTTGATCTGATTAATAACATGTCTAATCTTCGTACATTGAATATTCAATTTGACGATGATCATTTCGAAGAGACAAACGAGGATGAATTTGTTCCATGGTTGCAGAACCAGTTACCATCAACATTTCTAATTAGTCGAGATCCTGTGTACGCAACTGATATTCATATATGGATTGGCTAGAACTATGTGTAGATTACGTTAAATGTGTCGCAGAGAGTATACAGAGAAAAAATGATGATGCACTTGTTCACACTTTCATTCAGCTTTATCGAATATAGAAGAAGAAGAAAAAAAAGAAACGATAATGTCATGTACAACTATTCGACGATAACACATTCGAATAAATCGATAGTGAGTGGAAAGAATAGTTTTCTTTTCTTTCTCCATCCGTTGAAACGTCAAAATAAACACAGATGGTTCATTTTCGTTCGGTAAGATGGATTGCTGTGATGTCGATTCGAACTTGCAAAACACTTGATATTAGACAAACGAACTAAACTTCGCTCATAGTTCTTCACTCATATCATCATTTCGAGAATATTTAGTAACGTATATAGCCGTTCATACTTCCGTTTGTTATATGTGGTGTGTATATTTAAATGAGAACTATCCCATCCGTATCGAATATTTATCATCACAACAAATTCCTTCAGTTGAAGTCGACGAAACACAATTTCTTTCTTCAAATTATTGGCGTGAAGACTTTGGCTCTTGTTTGTACGGTTGTCAATGGCCTATACTGATTTCGTTCAATATTCAAAGATTTGCACTATACACCACATTTGGTGTCGTTGAGAAATGATAAAGAAGATATTCCTCTTCAGAATTTCCGAAATCTTTCTTTTCTTCCGTAAGATTTTATTGATCATATCTCTGATTCTGCGTCTATAGTTAATGGTTCTGCTGATTGAGAGTTTTCAATTTGGATGCTTAAATTAGCTTGAAATTTCTTCGTCTAAATGCTTTCTAAGAGATGAGACCGGGATTACCAAGTGTACCCCATTGGTGGCTTTCAGTGACGTCTTTACTTTAGTGTATATTTCGATTGAAGACTCTGAAAAGTTCTACCACTTTCTCAGATAATTAGTCCGTTTGAATAACAGGGTCGTTGTGAATCAACCATACTGATCTACTGGTAACCATCGGAGCAATTCGTCACTGGTTATGTCTCCCTCTCTTGTTTATGCCTTAAACACACTGAAAAAGATCAAACAGAACTAGCGATGTGATTGGTTGGCGTGTTTGACGTCTTAAGTTTTCATTCTAACTCTAACGATCGTGATCAAGCATCATCCTGACCCATCTCAATGATTGCATTCCAACAGTTCGTCTTTGTTTAACGATTCAGAACTTGAGTTTCTGTGTTATAGATTTCAACTATCAAAGAAATGAATCTCTTGAGTTCCTCTCGACCAGACGTCGAAGATCGAGATGAAAGAGCAACACCATCAATAGATACTGACTCCACTCTTTCGCTGTCTTTCAATAGAATAGAAAAGGAAAGAATGGACAAAAATTCCGAAGTAGCCATCGTTTTTTCAAGTATGTCAGTTTGATTTGAAAACTACATTTTAAACCAAAGTAATCAAGTGAAAACACTGTTTTCTTCTCGAAACTAATCTGCAAAATTGACTTCAAGCTTCATCATCGGTCTCAAAGAAATTAAATTGCGTATCCCATTTGAGGCTTACTACACCCCTTTTGAGACTTGGGGCCAGCTGGTAACCCTGGATTAAACACACGTATTGATAATTGCTTGTGATATTCCTGCACTGATTAACGTTTGAGTAGATTCTTGAACTGCTTGCTGTTGCCTAGTCACTATGGTGGTTTGTTCAACTTCCTCGACAATATTTGTTAATACTTTTATGGATTCATCAGCAAAACATCGGGCGGATCAACACTGTTAATCAAAGTCAGTAACACAAACATTGTCGTAGATTTTTCAAATTGGAAGCATTTATCAGTTTGGCATATATATAATATAATAAAGAAAGGTGTCTTAAATTAAAATTAGGATTATAATCATCAAAAATTTTCATTGGGAATAGAATAACTGAATACGCATTTGAATAATCAAATTTAAGTTTAGAATATTAGATTTTTGTGCGCTTGTATCAACAAAATAGTCATATCCTTCTTATTTTCTTTTCTATTATCTGTCAGTTAAGCATAAAAAATTAAATACCTGTAGAGCATAATATTAAGAATATTCTGTTGTTTAGAACAGATTTTACGCAGTTGTATTTTTACAAGTGAGAGGAACAGAAATGGGTGCCTATAAGAATGGAATTTGATTGGATTGAAATGTCCTTGTTAGAATAAGAGAAAAAGTATTTTAATAACATATTGTAGTATTCCTATTTGTTTTTGACAAAACATCTATAGTAATTATCTATAGATATGATGAAAACTGTCATTTTCACAGATTAATATCAGAGAAGATAATAATCTGCATTTGCATGTTGAGTTTTTTTTCCTGTGAATTTTCACCCTTTTCTTTAGTTACATCTATTTCTTTCGACAAAATGACAATGATCACAAGTCAAACATCTGCACTAACACAGATCTTTGCTGATGTTCGTGTACAACTTGCTCGCTATGTGTATTGCCCAACATTCGTCATGGGAAATATCGGTAATACTCTTAATATTCTTGTCTTTGCTCGTGAACCATTACGTACAAGTGTATGCTCAATCTATTTTCTCATTGTATCTATTTCAAATCTGATTTTAATCAATATCAGCTATTTAACAAGAATATTACCAACATTAGATGTACCTGATCCATCTCGTGATACACTTTGGTACTGTAAAGGTCGTGCTTATATCTCGGGATTATTTTTAACACTTACACGCCATTTTTTATGTCTAATTGCTATTGATCGTTTTTTAATTACATCAACAAGTGTTTCTTTGCGAAACTTTAGTTCTTTCAAAGTAGCAAAACGGCTTGTTCCAATAAGTTGCTTGATTTGGTCAATTTTTTATGTACATACTTTAATTGGTTATGAAAATACACGTGGGGGAACAAGTTGTGGTC